TTTTAAAGCTAACAAGCCAAGACTTCCATTCTAACTCCTTAACAATGTTAAAACTTTATGTCCTTACCTTGGTGAGTAATTTGAAGTAGTTTTTCACTAACGTCCTTAACCAAGAAAGAGAGAAAACAAGTTATAACCATAGGGAAAGAAAATTATGAACCAATTAAGTTAAAGACAATGGCTCAAAATAACCAACGCACCCTTTTTTTCAATTCTAAAGCTCTAGATGTGGGTAGGAGGAAGTGAGAGCTAAAAGGAAAATGTTTTGGAGAGTTGAAGTTGAGAAAGCAGAAAATGAGAATAAATGAATGGTTAGGTGAATGGGACAAAGTTCACCCTTTAAACCCTTGAGATTGACCATTTTTTAAGGGCATAGATCTCTACCTAGTAGAATGCCCTTATAGGGTTTTAAGTTTATAGGGATCGGCCTTTCTTATTTAAGGTGTCGATCTTTCTAAGGCAAAATGGATTTTAAGCCTTGTCCCTTGATTTATCATGTTCTCTTACCCTTCAAATGTCCCCTCTCACTCATTTTAGTATCTCTAAAGTTAATTCCTCACAATTTGAGCTCAAGATAAGGTTATCTCTCTATCTCATAAAGTACATTCACCATTTTAACCTTTCATATAAATTTAGGGTTCTATGGTTAGATGTGATAAAAAAATTCAATCCCAAACCTTATGAGCAACATAATAATGGATTTGGTATTCTTGGGATTTATTATGACCGCCACCCATTACAGTAAAAAAGAATAAGCTCATGTAGAATGCCCTTCTAAGGTTTTTTTAAGCTTGTGAATGCCAATTCTTTTGAGGCAAAATGGTTTTTAAGCCTTGTCTTTTGATTTCTCTACTCCTTTTGCCTTTCAAATGTCCCCTCTCACTCCTTTTAGCATCTCTAAAGTTAATTTCTCATAATTTGAGCTCAAGATAAGGTTCTCTCTTCAGTTCACCAAGTAAATTAACCATTTTACCCTTACATATAAAATCAGGGTTCTACAAATAAATACAACAAAAGAATTCAATCCCAAACCTTATGTGTAACCTAATAATGTATATGGGATTCTTGGGATTTATTATGATCACCACCCACTACAGTTAGGAAGAATGAGCTCATGATGAGTTATCTTTTATGCAAGGTTCATAATTCTGAATTGCCTTCTATGATTGAAAGTGCTACTCTAAGTGAGGATAAAGACTCATTCTCCGTCGAAGTGTATTCACCTTATAAAGTGGGGCACTAATTTAGGTATGACCAACTAATTTTGCTTGACCTTTCTTTACTAATCAAATTTTTTTCTTGTGTTTCTTATTTTTCATGGTAGGACTTCAACTCTATATAGAGAAGCTTAACAGTTGTATTCTCCCAGCTTTTGATACAGTTGGTATTTATAGTTCTAAATGGTTTGCTCACTAGAAAAAGTGCCTTGAGAGATGGAGATCTTGTTTTATGCCATTAGCTAATTTCAAAGCTCATCTTTAAACTCCTCACGTTAGTAACAACAACATATCCTTTTGCCTGATTCTTCTTAAAAAGAAGAAAAATGCAAATGAAGAAAAAAATAAAGGAAGAGCAAAAGCACTTTTTGTTCTTTTTGCTTTTACTCACTGAACAAAAGAGAAAGATGTGTATCTAGGAATAAGTTTACCTTTAAATTCTTGTTTTTTTTTACTGCATTCATTTCTTCATTTAGTTCTTTTATATTTTTAGAGAGAATCAATTACAAGAATAGAAGTCAACTTGATTGAAGAAGACAAGACTTATGGAGTTGAAACTAAGGAAGAATCATGTGACTTTGAATGTAGTGAAAAGTCAGATGACGATTATATTAATGTCGATGAGGTTGAGGTTAAAGGTGCTGTTATATCTTCTATAGCATAAAATGCATTAATAGACTGCTTTAACAATTTCATCGATTCGAATGCTATTTTTGCCTCTCATACTCAAATTAGCTAGAAAAAATATCAAAATGCTACTTTAGCTCTAGCTAATGTTCTAAATATTTTTTAAACTAAGATTGTTCTTGCTTCACAAGTTACTCAAGCTAAGGGTTTTTACTGATGATGTTGAAGCTATTCCTAATGTTGAGGTTGTTCTTGATAATGATCTTAATCATTGTGCTTCTTCCTCCTCAGTGCCAAAGCATAAAGATGTCAGTAGTGCTTTTGGCACTTATGTAGCATATATTAAACGAGTGGTACAAAATTTGACTTCCACAGCTTTCAAGTTTCATTACAACATGTGGAATATTTATAGCGTATTTAGAGCAAAAAGGGCAGTTTTAGGACCTGTATTTTTAAAAGCATAGATGCCATTTCTTCCATGAGAGAGATCTTGGGTAAAGCTTTAGTGTTTGCCCATGTTCCATGGATGAGCATTTCACTAGAGAAACTAAAACTAGGTGATTTCAAATTTTGGATTTTAGACATTTTATGAGCCTAAATTTCCAAAGAAAAAAAAGTAGTTGTGGGAAACAACTACAAATGTGAACAGTGACCCCAATTTTCGCAACGTAGAAACCTCATCTTGGCAATGGATGGAGAATGGTTTTTCTCTAAGGATGGTGGAGTTTCTATTTTCATGTTAATTTTTTCTAGCAAACTTCGATTGTCTTTTGGTGAAAAACTTTTAAACTGATTTATAGAATCCTTTTTATCAAATAATCTAATACCTTTTAATTACTAGATAAACCTGATATATAATTATCATCTAATTATCTTGGTAACTTAATTTACCAAGAGAAAGACATGGTATATTCTTATCTTTTGATAAACTTGATTAGATAGGCAAGACTATCATGGGTGTAATCCCAAAAGTTAAATAGTTTCTAATTTGGATTTACCTCTTAGCTCTCCTTCTTTGTTTCTTAGATTTTCGATCTTTTCTTTTTTTTCTTTTCTCTCTTAAACTATTTAAGAATATTCAAATAAATTATTATTCTTTTATTCTGTTCAACCAAGCCTCCTTTACTTTTATTTTGGATTAAATAAGGTCTTATAACTAATAGTTGATTAATTACAATTAGTCAAAATCTCATTTGTCATTTTATACCCACATGCTCTAATATGGATGATGAAAAGTGCCATATAACCATGTCATCATACCACATCAATATGCCACCTTATCATCTAATATGATATGTCAAAATAAAAGTATATGAGCTTGATTAAATGTAATACAAGAATAAAGACTTATTTGAATTTTCCTAAATTGGTAAAATTATGTGATGAGGTTTTGGAAAATTTCAACATAAACAATTGTCACCTCCATTTTGTGGGAGTACAGTTTTAGCAAATTAAATAATTAAATATATTCTTACATGCATTTTCTAAAGTTGGTGCCATTATCTTAATAACTCAAATTAAACTGTCTTAGATAATTGATTTACTATATTACTAATGACATCAAAACCTGGCACATACTAATTATTGAAAGGCAAGGTATGGTTATTTTGTTTTGATTTATTTAATTGATTGAGAAGAATATGGAATACAACAAAACTTATATAAATTAATACCCTTGAATCATGAAAATTAATTAATTAATTAAGATATTATTTCATTGATAAATTAATAATTTATTAATTTATATATTAATTAATAAAAAATTAATTTATCAACTTTATTTTTTTCCTAAAACATTGTACTTAATATATGTATTGTGTATTATGATTATATGAAAATTACCTAATAACCAAATTATGAATATCATTATTTGTGATGAGTAAATTATTGAGAACATTATGAAAAATGACAAAGAAGATGAAGTTGAAGATGATACTTCTGTACTAAAGCCTGTATCATACAAAGATGCATTCAAAACAACAATGACATGGCATAAGTTTCTCTTGCAATTTGAGAACACTATACCAAAGCCTCATAATACATTAAGAAAAGTTAGAGATGAGGTCCAAGGAGGGAATCAATTTCAAGAAGAAACAAATAACATTGGAGTTATGTTTTACAAAGATTCACAATTGAGTCATGTATATATATAATTTTGATGTATAAGAAGATTATTAATTTATATATCAAGTAAGATCTATGTATTTTTTTAAATATATTATTTTATAAATTTAACGAATTATCAATTTATTAACTTGATCTCAAATTGAGATCGATCAAAAATATTATTTAATCGAAATTATTAATTTATTGAATATTAATTTATTGAGATTTTAGTGTACATCAATGATCCTAAAGTCAAAACTGTTTGTGCTATGTCCTATCATGAAAAGGTTCTTAGCATTTAATCAGCATTCAATTTAACAATCTGAAAATCAAGTCAAGTTGGTAATTTATGAGGCAAGAGTTTGAGCATTTAAACAAATTAGACTTAGGGCTGCACATTTCTCAAATGTGCTATTAAAAATTTATTTGATAATATAATTATAAAGATTGTATACATTATCAAAGGTTATATTTTTTATATTATTACTAAATATAAAAGAAATACCTATAAATATTTAAATAAGCATATTTTTTAAAATTTGATTATATAAATATATATATATATACTATTTAAAGAAATATAATTAAAACTTAAATTTGTTATAACCGAAGGTTTACGACTTGTCTCATTGTCATGAAATAGAAAAGGAAAGCCATGGGTTGGCTAGTGATTGGAGAACAATCAATGAAATGAAGTAGTAGCAAAATTTGCACGTGTATTAATAAAATGGCAACGGTGAGCTACTGAAGACGTTTTTCCTGCTTTGATCTAAGAAGAAGAATTTCCCAAATGTAGTGGATGGTTACATGCTTGATGTGAAACTGTTAAATCTTCTACAGAAAATGAAAACTCCGTTGTAAAATAATATAATCAACCTTCTGCAAAGTGTAAAGGCAAAAGGACAACAATAGGTTGGTCAACTTGTGCAACTTTCGGAAGGTGGCCCCAATTAGGCAATTGCGTTAAATTCAACAGTCCAAGATATGAAGCAGATAATATGGACAACTCTTCCAGTAAGTGTCAGACACAAAGACGCGATAGACCAAGTCAAAGCTCGTGTCTCACAGTAACATAATTCCATCCACAGCCTCTGTATCTCGTATATAATAATATTCCTAGTAATCTATTCATCTTCTTCCCCACCATCTCTCTCTTCCAGACCATCAAGATCCCCAAATGAATCAGATCCATTTGTTTAACCTTTCATCAACTCTGTTTCCAGTGATACACTTCTTTATCTTCAGTTCCTTTTTCCTGGCAAGAAACGCTTTAGCTGTGGACAAGAACTTCACAGTCTGCAGCGAGCCAAGTACTTGTGGTAGGCATAACATAAAGTTCCCATTCTTCATCCAGGACCGTAGATGTGGTTATCCCGGATTCAATATCTCCTGCAGAAACAGCAGAGACCCAATCCTTAGCTTGCCTGATGGCGACTATACCATCCATGATATCTTTTATCAGAACCAATCTTTTCGCGTGTCAAAAGCTGTTGCTTTCTATAGAGATTCCGTTTGCAGCCATTCAATCCCAAACATATCCATTCCAGAAGACCGGCTTTCTCTGCCGCCAAACCAAACAGAAATATTTTTGCTCTTCAATTGCAACTTAACCAGGCCATCGACCTGGGAACTTTCGCAGTACAAGGTTTATTGTTCTGCTGAAGATGAAACTAATGCAACGTTGGTACTGTTCAATAATGATCCTAAGCTGAATTCTGCTTCAAAGTATTGTCAAAAAACGGTGGTGGCGCCTGTGGCTTTTTATGAAGGAGAGCGAGGCGTTGAAAATATGCTGAATAGAGGGTTTGTGCTGAAGTGGATAGCGAGCAACTGTAGCATTTGTGAGGCGAGTGGGGGCAAGTGTGGATTTGATTATAGTACCTACCATTTCAAGTGCTTTTGCCCTGATAGACCTCACGCTTGGCACTGTCGTCCTGGTATGCATCTCTCTCTCTCTCTTCTTGTTAATGCATAGTTTAAACAATTCAAAGAAGAAACCTTTTCCGTCGTCTTGGGAATTCTCTATCTTCTCTGTATGAAGAGCTGCCATTGATAATTGATATGCCATGCTCTGTTCATTGGCCCACCTTTCGTCCGAAAGGGTAAGGTTCTTCTCTGGCTGCTTAATCTTCTGTTTCTAGCCCCACTCAATCAAAATCAGGAGTTATTAGGTGGATACGACATGGACGACATTTAATTTCAAACTTTGTGGATAAGAAAGTAAAAAGTGATGGGAGGATACATGAATCTGAGTACTAAGGCGAATTAGTCATTATAATGGGCACACAGCGGTTTAGTTACCAAACCTTGCATATGATGTATTTATCACTGCTTTTTCTCTCCCCTGGTTCACACAAGGCTAGCCCTTTTTTTCGGTAGTTCTCAAATTACAAAACCATCTTCTACTTGTTGGATAGTTTCAAATTTGGTATCCAGTTAGATAACACTAGTACTTAATCCACAACAAAAATCCGCTTCGAACCATATGGAAGTAATACTCTTTTGGATTTTTGTATTGGGTTTGCGACTGAAATTGGTTAAAGAGAAGACATAGTATGATATTTGGGTCCTCTCTGGAGCTCCACCGTTTAACGGCATTACCGAGTTACCCGATGCGCCACACCATTGTTTGATTGTTCTTTTCTTGTCCTTTTCCGGTGCAAATCGTCAAATTGCTTCAATCCATCCAACTCAAGAATGTCCCCGATGGCCATGAAGAGATGATTGAATCTCTCAAGCTCAGATTTGGTCCTTGGGGTAGGACAGATCACACAACTTGGTAGTAACAGAAGAATTCTAGTTGACATATGTTGATTGAGGTTTGGGTAGGATAATTTCCAGTGGTTGGTTCTGATTGAAATCGAAGTAGGTTGGTACAAGTGAAGATACATCAGGCCAACTGCTGCATAAGATGTAGATGCAGTTAAAATTTGCAAGCTTGTAGAGATAGGCCTTGTGTTGTAGCCCCTTTTCTTGCAGGGTCATTTGCAAAATGAACAGATTGTTGGTCAAAAACTAAAAGCCATGTACCAGTAATTAAGTGCAGCCAAAAGACAGTCTTAACCCTGTAGGGTTTAATGCCTTCCTTCTTAGACAAACAACTTGATTTGCCATTTGGCTGCAACACAAATTTTAATTGGCCAGCTTCCTACTGATTTCAGTGTGAGAAAACCTCTGCCAACCGCACCAGGCAATGTAGTTAAGGTGCTTAAATACATCCTTGTTGGACCTTGTAAGGATTTTGCCAATTGTTTCAGCATTTACTTCTAGTTCCAGAGGAAACCCCACAATCCTCTTTTTGTTTTTTTTAATTAATGATGATTGTTGACTGGACTCCTTAAGATTTTTGTGGGAGATTATCATATATGTTTTAAACTCTAAAGTCTATTCACGTCTTAATCTGGTTGATCAAAGACTATAATAAAATATAAAACAAGGGATTAATATATTACCCTGAATTGCATCAATGAGCTACCTACATTTAAATTAGTTAAACAACCTTTACGTATGCAGAGGCATGATCCTGAAGACCAGGCAAGGAACTTTACCCTTGCTTTTGTCACAGAGGACAATTATTAGCATTTAGCTTATAAGTTCTGCAACCTGATGTAGTGTTGTAGTTTACTTCATAGCAATAAAGTATAGGTTTTACAAGTGCAGAACCAAGTATAATGTGATCTTTAAATATATATATTAAATTACCCTTTGAACCCAACTGAAGAGGGTGAGAGATTATTACCTAAATCAATTTGAGGAAGAATGCAAAATCAAGTCAAACTACGCACCCAGAAAAATCAATTGAAAATTTCAAAGGTGATCAGTGTTGATCATAGATCTGTCCTAGGTGCCCATAGTATTCTGTTAGTCTTGTTTCTTAACCAGTTCCTCAGATAGGTTTGCACAACTTGCTCAAAATATTCTTGTATATTTTGATTGAAATCTTTATCATCATCTTCCTGTAAGAGTCACTCCTGGTGGAATGATCAAAATTTGAAGCTGTAGTAGTGGTGGTAATGATCTAGACATAAGCTATCCATGCTATATTGACGGTGCTGGAGCAGACTATAATTGGGGTCATCCAGGCTTTGAAAATAGGTTGTGAGAATGTTAAACCTATCTATAAGACCTCCGGTGGTCGCTTTCTCATTCAAGGTATCTCTTATGAGAATCCGACCTTGGACTAGTGAATTTAAAGGTGAATAGCACTGCCTGCTTTGCTCCTCTTAACAATTTCTGCTTTGATCCGCCACAGACTCCTTCCGAGTTAATTATACAAAAACTAGAATCAGATGTGCCTTCAGTGTGATGTATAATTCTTAGGTTGCATTAGTCCATTGGGATGAGGGCTTGAATTTGAACAACATCCTGTTAGCTTAGTTGCTTCACCTGTTCAGTTTGAGAGGGAAAATAATCAAACAAAAACAAGTGTTGACTACCAACAATTGTTGAACGATGGATTTACTCTCAACTGGACGAATGGATATGATTGTGCTAAGTGCCAAAGAAGTGGTGCCCATTGTGGATTCGATGAGGGATCTACCGCCTGTCTCTGCCCTGATGGACCTCATTCCAGGGTTGCAACAATGCCATGGCGGCCAAAAATTGCTTTGCTTCTTCTTGTTTTGTGCCCAAAATAGTCCAAGATTAAGGCAGTTTACACTCACTAGAAAAGTAGGACATCATTCAACGGAGTAGTAGATCTCTCTTCTCTTTTTCTCAGAGACCTTCTGCCTCAAATCTAGGATCTAGCTAGCATACTCTGAAACGAACATAGTCCTTTCGAACATACTCTGAATCTAGCTAACATCTCTAGATTTGTCTCTCTATGTTAGACATTCATGCGCACTCCTGGCGGACCCACTTTAGAAGAGAGTGGTGTCACATTGCATCACTCATTACTCAAAAAAAAATTTTTATACGATTTTTATTGAAGTTTATTAAATTTCATTAATTAATAAATTTATTAATTTTTTTACAATTTTATAGGAAATGGGTCAAAAATTTCAAGTCGAAGCAGATTTATGGAGAAGTAATTTATATATTATATGGAAAGATAAAATATTTTTTTATAAATTAAAATTTTATTAAAAGATTTAAAATTTAAATTATTTTTTCTTTCCTTTTGAGACTTGCAGTAATATATTCTTTTTTTGATTTTCTGTTGCATTTCTGGCTCTCTTTTTTTGAAAAATTCAAGTCTTATATAGAATGAATAATGAGTGAATAAATGATTTTTTGGAGATATATTTTGAAAAAGATGTATTCGATAATATTTCTATTGATTTTATTATACAAAACTGTAGCTTGTGTTTTGTTGTCTAGAAAGTAGTGTAGAGTCCGGAAGAAACTTTCAATTCAATCAGCCCATGAACTCTTTGTTCAAAGGGTTCATACTCTCAGTCGTTTCTTTGTTTTCAACTGTTCTTTTCTTAAGATTCAGTGTCCCTCTCAGCTCTAGGTCAAGTCAGAACGGAGAAAATTTCGAATTAACACTAAATTGACAACTAGGTTGACAATATTTAGGTAGCATCACCTTTATTTACAGACCTCTGTATCTTGGCTTTGAATCCTGCTCCGTCAATGGGTGTTAACCCTGACTCCGCCATGCTCTGGGACACCCTGGAGAAGTAGGAAAGGAGGATGGCTAAGTGGGATGAGAGGGAAGCAAAAAGTCCTGCAAACCGCTGCAAAAATCACGACTAACTTGTTAAGGACGACGAACCCGCCATGGAGACACTTGAAAACGTTTATTTTTCTTTCTACCCCGTTCCCTGCTCCTCTCAAAAGTCGTCACTGAGATGGAAAAATCAAGTAAAGTAATAATGGTGGGAAATTCAACGTGCTTTTCGACCTTGAGAAATGACCATTTCCACAAGGTTGACTTGTCTGTTTGTTTGTGGGCTGCAATCTGACTCTTCCCTCTTTTTCTTCTCTCAGAGATGCCTTATACTTTTCTCTCTTTCACGCCATTTATTTAGTTATTTTTAAATTTTCCCCATCCAAAAATGAGTCTTAAGTCTCTGTAGCTATTTTACCTCTTTATCTTGTCATTAACTGTAATTGTTGCTAAGCACCATATAGCGGGCGACTTTGAGATCTCTCAGCTATCATCTATACTCCCTGGACGTTTCAAACTCATAAGCCAGGTCTTTCCAGTGCTGAACTGCTGGTCAGTGGAGAGGAGATTGACCGAATTGTACACACCCACCAATCAAAAAAGGCTTCCCTATGCACATTACATGTGTAATTTAATATACGTGGATGCCCTAATCCCACTTTCCTTGTCTTTCAATCCTGTTTCGTCAAGTCGTCTATTTCCGCTGTTCAATTCGATACGGTGTTTTTAACGTGTATATGCATTATATAATAAGAGAAGCTGACCCTGCAAGAACGAGCCAAGGGTTTTAGGTTGGTTTGGCTATTTGTTCTCAAGTGAGAGAATTTGGCTCTGTTTCTATTCTTCATTGGGGTATCTTCGGATGGCAGCTGTATCCTTGTTGGTTTTGATTGTTCTCTCGCCGTTTGTTCTTCTTCACTTTGCTGGTGCTGAAGAAGAAAACAGTTACCCCTATCACCCTGATTGCCCACCCTTTCCCTGCGGAAAACTTGGAGAGATTAGATTCCCCTATACTCAAAGGAATCGCACTGAATGTGGGTTGTTTGTAGTTGACGATTGTCAGGGAATCATTCAGAAGGTCCAGCTACAACGGGGAGAGCGATGGTATCAAGTTAATTCAATCTCCCAAGCTGGCACCATCACCATTTATGACGAAGTGCTCGCGAAGCGGCTAGAAACCAAGGATTGTGAATCCTTGAAGAATTTGAGTTTTCCCAATCTACCACATGTCACTTTCGAAATCGTTCCCAACCTAACCTTGTGTAAATGCAATAGCCCTTTGAATCCTAGTTTTCTAAAAAAACTAAGTTACACTGAATGCAAGAATTCCACTGTATACTATAGGCAACCGAATCCGCAGGGAATGCCAGAGCCACCGGACAATATGTCAAGCCTTTGTAATTGTCCAATTATTCAGCTCCCTTCTACCAATCTTCCACCCGACAAGAATCCCCTGAAGGAAAATTCCCAACTTAACAATCACTTGTTTCACATGTTGACTCCCAACGTATCTGTCCGAGTTAGAGTATCCCATTGGTGTAAGAAGTGTCATTCCAGAGGCGGTGAATGTCTAGCTAAGAAGCAAAGATTTCACTGTAGTAAAGGTATATGTGAAAATTTATGTACTGCACTTCTTGTTGCCTCTTCGCATTGCAGAGGCTGCTGCATTTTTTCCTGTTTTTCCTTGATTGCACATCAAGCGACAATCCAGTTGTTCTCTCCTGAGAGATGTTTACCTGACCCATAAAGGTTTTTCCTTTCGAGAAGCTTAAACTAGTTTCTCGCAGTGATTTGTCTAAACAAAAAAAAAAAAAAAAGTAAATGGTTATGTTATGACTTGCCTTCTTTTTCTTCTTCTTTTTTGGGTAAAAGCTGACTTCGTAATTTCGATTGCAGGGAATAAAACTTTGGGATTGAAGCTGGGACTTGGTAATCTCTCTCTATTGCTGATTATTTCAGAAGAATTTCTTTACATCTTATGGATACATCGTGGTTGTCAATCCAAAATTGACCACCCTCATTATTTGGCTGTAGGAATTGGATGCCCAGTCACTCTAATAATACTGCTCTTGTCCATCTATGTCTTCCGGTATCGATACAAACACAAATATGCTTCTTCAAACTTTCTCAGAGGAAACGCTTTATCCAGTCCCTCTTCAAAATCAGACCTGGAAAGCAGCAATACTGTCGGCTTTGGGCTCCTCATCTTCACCTATAGGGAACTTGTGGAAGCTACAAATAATTTTGACGATGAGAAAGAACTTGGAGATGGAGGTTTTGGGACTGTATACCATGGTAAGAGAATCAATTGCATATACTTTACCATTGAGATTTGTAGCGGTCACCCATATGAATCAGACAGCTGCTAAGCAACAGTATAAATAACTGTAGATAACCAAAAGCTTGATATATGGACTCTCTCTCTCTCTGTTTTGAACTAGGGAAACTCCGAGATGGGCGAGAAGTTGCAATCAAGCGACTCTACCAGCACAATTATAGACGACTGGAACAGTTCATTAATGAAGTTGAAATCTTAATTCGCTTGCGCCACAAAAATCTGGTCTCTCTTTATGGTTGCACTTCACGCCGCAGCCGGGATCTCCTCCTTGTTTATGAATTCATTCCTAATGGCACCGTTGCTGATCATCTTCATGGCGATCGTGCACAGTCCGGTTTACTCACATGGCCCGTACGCATGAGTATTGCCATAGAAACTGCAAGTGCATTAGCTTATCTCCATGCCTCGGATATCGTACACCGTGATGTTAAAACTAACAACATTCTCCTGGATGATAATTTTTCCGTCAAAGTAGCAGATTTTGGGCTTTCACGGTTGTTCCCCCATGATGTTACCCATATCTCAACTGCTCCACAAGGGACCCCTGGCTATGTTGATCCAGAATATCACCAATGTTACCAGCTTACTGGAAAGAGTGATGTCTATAGTTTTGGAGTTGTTCTTATTGAACTCATCTCATCAATGCCTGCTGTTGATATCACCAGGCATAGGCATGAGATTAATTTGGCTAATTTAGCAATAAACAAGATTCAAAAGTGTGCATTTGATGAGTTGATTGACCCTAATCTCGGGTATAAATCAGATGAAGACGTTACAAGGATGACAACTTCAGTTGCAGAGCTGGCTTTTCGATGTCTGCAACAAGAGAAAGAAATGCGTCCTTCAATGGAAGAGGTTTTGGAGGAACTACAGAGGATACAGAGTGAAGATTACAGGTTGGAGAATGTGCAGGAGGAGGAGTACACAGACAATGAGGTGCCAGGGGGTGTACAGCAGCCTCCTTCACCACCAAACGGTGACCATAGTGTATTGTTGAAGAATATCCGACCGCCACCTTCACCAATTTCTGTGACAGATAAATGGGCTAGTCGGAGTACTACACCTGATGCCAGTGGATAAGTTTCTAGACCATTCTGGTTTAAATTTCGAGGTAGAGAATGAAATTTCATTCAGGTCTCACTGCCAACTGCAAATAGAGGGTAAAAGATTTTCATTGTTCTCCTCATTTGCTTTTCTTGAGGGAATGTACATAGTAAATGGAGCAATCATTATTATTATGCTATAATGTTCATATACTGCAGATCTTATATCTGGCTTCCTGCTTTCTGCACCCCATAATATTATGCTATAACGTTCATCGAGATCATGCTTGTGGAATCCTGCTCTAAATGTGATGGGCAAAGCAAAATGCATTTCATAAGAATTCATTCTCAACTAGGTTCAGGTACTCTGAGCACTGGTCAACTCTAAATTTGAACAAATGATTGCAAATGTCAATGGCTACAGATGTAAAAGCCGTGTTCCTAATAATGCTCCAAACATATAGAACACGGCAGGGACAACAACATTTTTATATATTAGTGATACTGTAATCATTACACATCCAGAGACCAAAATGGCATGTTCTGAAATTCAACATGCTCACACCATTGAACAGACGAACTCTTGACTGTGATACCACTAGGATATTGGTTCTGTTCTTTCTGGAAGGGAAGGGAAGGTCAATAAAGACTTTTCAAGCTCGCCTACAGTTGTATGATTTTGGAATTTTCTTGGAAAATGCACCCAACACGCTGTTTCTCTATGCCCAGGGCATTGCTTTTCATCTCTTCCAAGACAAAAGAAAATTCCATTCAAAGAGTCCACTTTTGACACTGGAAAAAAGAAGAAACACAAAGCAAAAAAGGAACATAGAAACTCCCTCATAGATTCTTTTCTCTTGCTTTGAAGCAACCAATACAAAACGGAAATCACCTCACAATCATTTTGCCAAGTTTCAAATTCCAAATCCTCCTATTCACTTCACTTAAATTTCTCCATCAGCAGAGAAACGTAGAGAGGGAAACCTAACAAACAAAAATAAAAACAAAAGAACAAAAGATGGCGACGTTGCAGAAATTCAAGCTATTCGCAACACAATGCGGCGTCACCCAGAGTCCAACAAGAAGTCCAAGGACGAGTCCCCTGGTCAATTTCCGTCGACCTAAAACCACCCTGCGAATGCTTCTCACCAGAACCAGTAGCCGCAAATCATCAACCTGTCGAGAAATGTCGTATCCACCGAGTTTCGTCGGCAACTTACCTGAGAAAAAGAAGGGCGACAAGGATTTGAGCGGTCGCACTTTAAAGGATTTATTTGTATCATCACCGACGTTAGCAGAAGAAGAAGAAGATGATGATGATGATGAAGGCCAAGTCGTCAAGGAGAAATATGGCGGGAAAAGTGAAGTTGATTTGGCGTCGAAACTTGGTGGCCTTAATGCACTGGGAGGTGAACCGGGTTCGCCGAGGGCCGGTTGGATCGGGTTCAGGCATAGGATGCTATTAAGGAGGGCTTGGCGTCCCATGCTCGGGACCATCCCTGAGTAATTTTGAGATATTTAATTTGTCGAAATTTCTAATGAAATTATTTTTTCTTCTTTTTTGTTTTTTAAAAATTTCCTTTCTAGTTTTCTATTTCTTCTTTTTTTAATATCCAAAGAGTGATGTAAGACTGAATTTTTACGAAATAATTCAAAACATTTTGCGATTAAATGAGATCCATAACATTTTACTTTTTAAAAATTCAATACATATTACTTTCCTACTTACTTGATAAATTACAAAAATTTTAATCTATCATTATTGCTTCGTTTTTCTTTTAGCAACATAATTGAAACCTTTTTCTCCTTTTGTTCTAAGCTGACGGGCATCCGCCATTGGCTTATAAAATTTTTTTTTGGAAAAAATTATATATTAATTAATAAATTAAATATATTATTATTATTTTAACTTTATTCTTCTTTTCACCAAAAGAACCGAATTATTCAAATGCTTTTGGGAATTTGGAATGTTGAATGCTTTTGATATCTCGTGGAAAGATAGAGCGGCCATGGTGCACTCATCATGGGATGGACCAATCTCAAAAAAGTCGCATATTATCATGGATGGATACCTCTCGATCCCAACATTTTCTTTTTTCTTTTTCTTTATTATTACTTAAAATTTTCAATATGCCTTTGTATTACCATCCTCAAAATTTGCACATACTCGTGTTAGTTCTTTTTTCTACTACTTTTTGGTGAAGAAAATATCAAACTCAATTCTTTAATTAAATAATATATATTTATTATTGAATTGCATGCTTAAAATGCAATATTGTGGGTAATTTACTAATTGACATGTTAAAAATTTGATGGGCAACGCAATGATAGGGAGTATTTTTGTTTTTGAGAAAGATGGATTTTAAATCTAGAGGAATACATACCATTAAAAAAAAAAGGATTGAGAGTTTTATATACAAGGGCATGAGTTATGGTGCTAATTGGGGGCGTTTGTGTTTGACATATTAGGAATTAGGATTTGTATTTTGTATACTCTACTATAACTAGAACCAAAAATCAACACACTGTGTAGTGGCATGAATTTTTTCCATTTAAAGAATAAAGAATATTAAATTGCTATATATATAATGCAAATTTTTTCATGCTTCAAACATAATTTTTTTTTAAATTGAGCACAGTGAGTAACGTCTATGATAAATATGTAAAATCATAAAGAATATTTAATTTTATGTAAAACAAAAATATCTATTACATGTTTTTCAATGTAAATTTATTATTTGGATAAGTCTTTTAGGATAATAATCAAGTTTTTTTTTTTATGCCAAATCACTATAAGATGTTGTTTTGTATCAATGGAAATACCTGTTTCACATTTTTCATGGTGAAACTCGATTTTAATAGGTTTTAAGCGAGAATAACAAAGTGTTTGATGCGGATGAGTCAATAGTAACCTAAAATCATAAAGAAAACTTAATTTTGTAATAAACAAAAGCATATAAATCAAATTTTTCAATACAAACTCTCTATTCTGATAGATTTTATTAAAAAAAATAAAAGCATATATTTTAAGTTTTTTCGGACAAATTTTCTATTTTGATAAATTTTTCATGATAATAACAAAAAATTTGATAAAAATGAAAGTATAACAATTGAAAATCATTTGATAGAGTTTATTTTCCTAACAAAAGTGCATTTATAAGATGTTTCTCAAAGCAAACTTTAATATAATAAATTTTTTTTAAAAATAACAAGATTGTTTTTAAAAAAGTCATTAATAAAGAATATTAAATTATAATTGATAATATGAATTATTATCAAATAAAGAATACATACCTAGGTTATCAACTTGACAGTTTATTGTCTTGGTTGAGCGGCAGATTCCTAATGGCTGGTTTCCTACGCAAAGCAACAAGAAGAATCCAGCAAACAGGTGGGCGTGGCCCTTGCAAACATTAGCTTGCTGGGATACTCAACCTCTCACCGTCAATGAAGCTTACAGAGATATAAGTTAGAAGAATGGTTTAGTGTTAAACAGGCTACAATCTATCACCTCCAACGTGTCCCACTGCTTAAGAATGGAGCGTCAACTTCAACTTTTGGTAATGATAAGCCTGGAATTCGCCGTTCTTCAGGACCATTTGGTTACAAAGCACAAATTGCTCCTACCATCAGATTCTCAATCCTGCCAGTTCTTTTTTTTTTTTTTTGATTTGTGGAGAAAAAGTTTGATTCCGGTCTCTTTAAACAAGAGATATGGTATTCGAGATATGCATTCACTTAATCCGATTAAGAAATTATTTTACCAAATTAATTTAATGCGTTGTAATACTTTCAATTTTCGATGTAAACTAAATTAATTGAGAATGATTTATGAAATATATTGTGTCTTAGGAACTTTCAATGATAGATTAAAAATGTTGAGTACATGGAAGTATGCCTATTGATACTTAAGCAAATTTTTGAGAATATATTTGGTCAATCTTAAAGTTTGATACTTTGATCAAGATTTGATCATATATTTAAGTTTATGATTAATGAATTTTGAGTTACATGAATGTTTGAGATGTGGATATTGGATGGAAAATGAATTGGAGGCCTTAGAAGTGAATTTGGAGACTTAGAGAAGTGAAAATCAGGAAACCAGGCTTGATCTATCAATAGATATTCTTCTTCTATCAATAGATGCATTTTTCAAAAAAAACAAAAACTATCAATAGATGCAAGATAGAAAACTCGAGAAAACAAGTTGGATGAACATCTATCAATAGCTTCCCTTAACTATGAATAGATGACCACTTAAGAACTTTGTAAAGCAGAGATATCTGGAAACTATTGATAGATTCGTGGAATTTATCGATAGATAGCCATATGAAATTAATGAAAACCGAAGTGAAAAGCATTTATCGATAGATCTGTGGAATCTATCTTTGAAATAAAAAACTATTAGAAATAAAAAATCATGTTTTTTGATATATTAAATAGAAAATCATATCTTTGAAATTAGAAAGATGGTCTTCCATTTTTTTCTTAAGAAAAAGAAGTTATGTCTTTTGTTATGTTAAATAGAAAATCATATTACCTTTCAAAAAAAAAAAGAAAATCATTTCTTTGAACCAAGCATGTGGTGGGCTGAGGAAACATAAAAGCCAAAGAGAGAAATAACATGTCTTTCAATTTAGATAAGCATTCCATCTATGGCAACAAAATGACAATTTACAAGCATAACTATTGCATATTAGCATGGAAATAAATAGAGAATGAAAGAGCCTTGTCATACTATAAATACCCTGTAGATGAGAATATTATTACATATAATCAAAAGCCAAGGTCTAGTTTACAAAAATATACTGACTTTGAAAGTAATGGATGAACATTCATCCTATTACACTAACTTACAACATGCATAAAACCAAGTGCCAAAAGTTACAATATCAAGAACTTACCTTCATAAAAAGTTTTAGAGCCATCCAAGCTCAACAGTCAGTAAGAAATGTCCTCAGCCATTGAAGTCTTTGGTTAAGAGCAATACTAAAAAACACAAACATAAGAGTTGAAGATTCATGAAGTTTAATTGAAGCAAGAACCTTTTCCCTCGCTGTCAATCCCTCTACTAGACTTAAAATTCTATCCAACTCTTAAGCCTTTTGTTGGATGTTCACCTTTGCCCCAACACTCTTGCTAAGCTCAATTCCAACCTTTTTTTTATTTTTTCACTTAATATCGTGGCAGCAATAATAATTGATTCAGATGTAATGGGATCACCCATCTCATTTGGCCTTTTCCTCTTCGTTACTGAAGTAGTTTCACTTCT